AAATAATAACCCTAATGAGCACAGATGCAAAAATTCTCAACAAAATACCAACAAACCAAATCCAACAGAACATTAAAAGGGTCATACACCATGATCAAGTAGGATTTGTCCCTGAGAGCCAAAGATTATTCAATATACATAAATCAATAAATATAATATACCACATTAATAAAAAAATAAAAATCATGTGACCATCTCAATAGATGTAGAAAAAATATTTGACAAAATACAAAATCCTTTCTTTTTTTTTTTAGTTTGCTTTGTATTTATTTATTTTTTTATTGGAGTTCAATTTGCCAACATATAGCATAACACCCAGTGCTCATCCTGTCAAGTGCCCCCCTTAGTGCCCATCACCCAGTCATCCCAACCCCCCACTCACTACCCCTTGTTCATCTCCCAGAGTTAGGAGTCTCTCATGTTCTGTCACCCTCGCTGATATTTTCACTCATTTTCTCTCCTTTCCCCCTTTATTCCCTTTCACTATTTTTTATATTCCCCAAATGAATAAGACCATATAATGTTTCAAAATCCTTTCATGATAAAAAATTCTCACAAATTGGGTATAAAATGAAGATGCCTCAATATTGTCAGGTCCATACATGACAAGCCCACAGCTAACATCATACTCAGTGGTGGAAGATTGAAAGGCTTTCCTCTAACATCAAGAACAGGACAAGGGTGCCTACTCTTTTTACTTCTATTCAACACAGTACTGGAAGTCCTTGACAGAGCAATCAGGCAAGAAAAGTAAATAAAAGACATCCAAATAGTAAAGGGAAAGTAAAATTGTCTTTGTTTGTAGATGATATGATCTTGCATAGAGAGAATTGTCAAGACTCCACCAAAAAACTGCTAGAAGTAATCAATGAATTCAGTAAAGTTGGATACAAAAATCAGCATCCAAAAAACAGCTGTGATTCTATACACTAACAACAAAACACCTAAAAAAGAAATAAAACAATCTCATTCATGATGAGATCAAAAATAATAAAATACTTAGGAATAAACTTAACCAACGTGGTGAAATATCTGTACACTGACAACTATAAGAATTGAATGAAGGAAATTGGAAAAGATGAAACAAATGGAAAGATATCTCATATTATGCATCAAGAGAATTGATATTGTTAAAATGTCCATATTGCCCAAAGCCATCTATATATTCAGTGCAATCTCTATCAAAATGCTCATGACATTTTTCACAGAAATAGAATAACAATTCTAAAATTTGTATAGAGCCACAAAAGACCCCGAATAGCCAAGGCAATCTTAAGAAAGAACAAAGCTAGAGGCAAACTATACTACAAAGCTACAGTAATCAAAACAGTATGGTGCTGGCATAAAAACAGACACATGGACCAATAAAACAGAACTGATAGCCCAGAGATAACCCCCCACATATGTGGTCAAGTAATATTTGACAGAGGAGTCAAGAATATTCAATGGGGGAAAGGATGGCTTCTTTAATAAGTGGTGCTAGGAAAACTGGATAACCACATGAGAAGAATGAAATCCTTCTATATGACACTACTCACAAAAATGAACTTAAAATGGATTAAAGACTTAAACTTAACACCTGAAACCATAAAACTCCCACAAGAAAACGTAAGGAGAAAATTCCTTGACATTGGTCTTAGCAGTGATTTCCTGGATAAGACACCAAAACTACAAACAACAAAAGCAAAAATTAATAAGCAGAACCACATCAAACCAAGAACTTCTGCGCAGTGAAGGAAACAACAATCAAAATAAAAAATATCATGTATTGAAAAAATATATATATTATGTATTGGATAAGGGGTTAATATCTAAAACATATAAAGAACTCCTACAACTCAACAGCAAAATCAAGCAATCCAATTAAAAACTGGACAGAGGGGGATCCCTGGGTGGCTCAGCAGTTTAGCGCCTGCCTTTGGCCCAGGGCGCGATCCTGGAGTCCCGGAATCAAGTCCCACATCGGGCTCCTGGCATGGAGCCTGCTTCTCCCTCCTCCTGTGTCTCTGCCTCTCTCTCTCTCTCTCTATCATAAATAAATAAATCTTAAAAAAAACTGGACAGAGGAATTAAATAGTTTTCCAAAGAAGACATACAAATGACCAACAGGTACATGAAAATGTGCCCACCATCACTCACATCAGGGAAATGCCAATTAAAACCACAATGAGATATTGTCTCATATCTGTTAGAATGGCTACCATCAAAAAGACAAGTGATAACAAGTGTTGGCAAGAATGTGAATAAAAAGGACCCCTTGTGCACTGCTGGTAGGAATGTAAATTGGTGCAGTTACTGTGGAAAACAATATGCAGCTTCCTCAAAAAGTTAAAAATAGAACCACCCTATGAATCAGCAATCCTACTTCTGGGTATATATATCCAAAAGAATTGAAATCAGTATCTCATAGAGATATTTACATTCCCATGTTTACTCCAGCATTATTTCACAATAGCCAACAACCTAAGTGCCCAGCAACAGAGGAATGGATAAAGAAGATGTTTCATATATATACAACAGAATATTATTCAGCCACGAGAAAGAAGGAAATTCTGCATTTGCAATGACCTGGATGAAATTGGAGGGCATCATGCTAAGTGAAATAAGTTGGACAAGGAAATACAAATACTGTATAATCTCACATATATGTGGAGTCTATAAAAGCTGACCTCAGAGAAACAGAGTAGAGTGGTGGTTACCCAGTGCTGGGATGTGGGGGACATTGAGAGGTATTGGCCAAAGTGTACAAACTTACAGTTACAAGATGAACAAGTTCTGGGGATCTAAGGTACAACATGGTGATTATAATATATACTTGATTGTATTATATACTTGAATATTGCTAGGAGACTAAATCTTAAATGTTCTCACCACCCCCCAAATCAATGGTAATTAAGTGACGGGACAGAGGTGTTAGCAAACCCTATGGTGGTAATCATTCTGCGATTTATAAATGTATTAATTCAATAGTTCGTACATCTTAAACTTACACCATGTTGTCAATTATATCTCAATAAATGTGGAGAAAAAAAGAAATTGGCAAATTATTAAGGTTTAAGAATCCATATATTTTGTATCCATCGTTATAAAACTTGATTCAGTGAAATTTCATTGATGTATGCTAAAATGACTGGGTAAAAGGCTATAGGAGACGGCAGCCCGGGTGGCTCAGCAGTTTAGCGCCGCCTTTGACGCAGGGCATGATCCTGAAGACTCGGGATGGAGTCCCACATCGGGCTCCCTGCGTGGGGCCTGCTTCTCAGAACCTCTGCCTGTGTCTCTGCCTCTCTCTCTCTCTCTGTCTCTCATGAATAAATAAAATCTTTTTTTTAAAAAAAGGCTATAGGAGAAAATGAGATTCATATGGTCACAGAGTAAGCATTCTCCAAATGGGACTTCCTAGTTACAAAAGTAAAATGGAAACAGAGAAATCTGGTGGTCAAACTTAATACCATCAGTAACAGGACAAACTGACAGTACCCACCCCTAATGCAAAGGGGATGCAGAGTCACCTGTACATAGAACAGAGAGTAAGTGATAGTTCTGTATCAGTGTTAAATTCTTTGGATTTGTTCATTGCCTTGTATAGGTAAAAGTTTTTCTTGGGAAAAACATTTTTTGGCGAATCATCACGTCGTGATGTTTTAAATGTTTTACAATTTTATTGGTCATTATCTGTCAATAAAGCTGAAGAAACATTATAAATAAATATAAATAAAAGTAAAAATGAGCATGAATTGGGTTAGCCATCGTTTCTTTATAAAAATTTTTTTTTAAAGATTTTATTTACTTATTCATGAGAGACAGAGAGAGAGGCAGAGGCAAAAGGAGAAGCAGGCTCCCTGTGGAGCTGGAAGCCCCATGTGAGACTCAATCCCAGGACTCTGGGATCGTGTCCTGAGCCAAAGGCAGATGCTTAGCCGCTTAGCCACCCAGGTGTCCCAGCCAGCACTTCTTACCCAGCTATTCTGAGTGCATAATCTGTACCCTGCACAATAGCTTTGAAAATATCCTTGGTTACTTATACCTTGACTAATCTGATAGTGTAGTATAAAGAACATGGGACTTCTTCACCAGAAAAGTGTGCGCTGATGTTGACACAGTTACACAGTAGGTGTGAGATAGTCGGTGCCTATCGTTTATCCTCTGTCCTCGGCCTCGATTTTCATCAACAGAATTGAGATAAAATAGCTACCTTTCAGTGTCCTAAGAGATTAGCTGAAGTGTATGTAAACTGTTTGGCATAATTGAAGGTGTTTTGCTAAATGTTAGCTCTTTTTTTTTTTCAAAGATTTTATTTATTTATTCATGAGAGACGCACAGAGAGAGGCAGAGACATAGGCAGAGGGAGAAGCAGGCTCCCTGTGAGGAGCCCGATGCAGGACTCAATCCCAAGACCCCTGGATCACGACCTAAACTGACGGCAGATGCTCAACCACTGAGCCACCCAGGTGCCCCAACATTAGGTCCTCCTATCATTGGCATTTCTTTCAGGTAATGTCCTTTCCCCTTGTGGCAGCACTTGCCAACCCCCCAGAAGAACATATGCCCACATCTCTAACCATTTTCTAGACAGAGCAGATCATAACTGATTGACTCAGAACAATGGCCAAAACAGAACCATGAGCATATGTCTATATTCACAATCATCTAACTGCAAAGTCAGAGCCTACAAAATGAGTGGAAGTGAAAAAAAAGGGGGGAGGAGTCATACTAGGGTTTCTTTGCCTTCGAGATTCTGTCTACAGCATGAGGTGACACTCATGCCTCATACCAGTGCCATGAGGGTCACCAGGACATGAGCACAAAACTCAGTACTCAGTTTCCCCTTCCTCACCCATAAATCATGACCTGTGTGGCCTGCCACATGCAAAGACACAGAGAATCCCAGCCCCACCAGGGCAGAGCACATCCTTGCTTCATGAACCCACCCTTTAATACGAAGAAGATTAACAACACAGACACCAAGGATGCTCATTCATTTTTAATAGTCTAGCACAGTTTTAATAGTTCTTCCTAGGAATTACCTCCCAAACCCTCCCTCCCCCACAAACAATTCAAATACAACACCTACAAGAATTCACATTTCATAAATGTAATATTGCAAAAACAGGAGAACTAAGAAAAGCCTTTGTAGCCTTGAGATTAAAAGCAATGCTTAATCATTCTCTCGGTATCTGTACTAAGTGCTAAATACTAAAAGCCAGAAAAGCTGTGCTGGCAGCTGGCAGCTAGCGGCTTGGGAGAGGAATGGATTTACGACGAGCACTTTTACATTCATTTTTCATCTCAGGACCAGGAGAACACAGGGCAGGGCTCTCTGTTTTGGTAACTACGATGTCATCAAGGTAAAAAACAAAACAAAACAAAACAAACCCCCGGAGACACATTTTCAGAGCAGCAGATGGAGTTGGTTTTACTTCTGTCACGGAAGTTAGAGAGGGCCAAGGTTCTCAGACTCCTTCGAACTGTGGTTCCCCCTCTTGCTCACATTCTGGTGTAAAGAATTGAAACTCTGGGCACCAGGGCCTTGAGTCAGAGTAATAGCACAATAAAAATTTGGTCAATGAATGAACTGAAACCTGGAGTGCAGTGTGAACAGGCTGGGTCTAAGTTTCTCTGAGGAAAAAGCTTGCTGGGACGTTTGGGGGAGGTGACATTCCCAAGGCAGGCCTGACTTGTCAGGACGGGCCTGCAGTGACTTGTGCAGCGTGGGAGCCCAGAGGAACAACCGAGTTCTCACTACTTCATCCTGGTCCTCAAAATATACCCCCCCACCCAGCCTCAAAATTCTCAGCTTCAATGCCATATGGAATCAAAATAAAATGAGTGTGTGTAAGCCTCCATCGGCTCCATCCGATACATACAAGATTGTGGAATCTGGGGTGAGACCCCCCACCTCTCTCCTTCCTTTTTGCCTTTTTTTTTATTTCTCTCCCTCTCCTCCTCTTCTCTTTCCCTCTGCCCTTCCCCATTCCTCCTAACCCAGTTTTGTGTCCTTCCCCCAGCTCTCTTGTCTTTCTTCCTTATTACCAAAGTTAAGTAGTTCTAAATACCTGTGGCTCCAGAGGGTGGGGCAAACAAAGCTGTTTTTAGTTTCCAGAAATAAGAGCGGTTCAAAGAAAAAAAAAACTGTTTCTGGCCATACTAACAGTGATTTAGAGACTCCTTCTTGAACTCATGGACATCTAGAACATTCTACTGGGTGTAAATTCAATACTTACACAGTAAGCTGGGGATTTTTATTTCTAGGACATAAATTTGATGATGATGTAACAATAAACCAGTCAGTAGTCACACAAATAAGAGCCATTTTGTGTGTATATTTAAATAAAACAAGGGGGTAGATGCTATTTAAAGCAGCTGGGCCTATCAGGTACACATTTGTCACAATTCTTAGTTTAAGGCTTTAAAATATTTCTACTCAGGCCTTGTATGGTTTTAAATATGTTTTCATTCATTCATTCAACAAACTTTCATTGAGTATCCACTCTGCCAAGCCTCATTGTAAATGCTGAGTAATACATTAATTCCAGGCTAATTAATTCCATTCCTTCTTCTGGAGGAAGTACCTCTGACCCAGTCGGTGTGCTGCTTTGCTAACCTGGAGTATATGCTCAGATGTCCATCCTGTCACTCTTGAGTGTTCAATCCTTCTTGGCATGTATTACCTCCTAAATATTTGCAAAATGTCATTCCATCTGACATAATGATAACAAATATAACACCAGATGGAAAATGAATGGTCACTCCCTGGGTTGTTGCTTCCTTTGGGGGAGTATATGAGCCTATTTCCAGGCAGCCTGGGATCACGGAAAGACCGCCAAACAAACCCAGGGCCGCGTGGACTAGATCTGGTCCAAGCTTCATAATCTTTGGGAAGTTACTTCACCATTTTGCATCCCTACATTTTTTTATCCTAAACACTGAGTCCAGGAATCCTGTCCTACCTTTCTTTTTTTTTATAAATTTATTTTTTATTGGTGTTCAATTTGCCAACACATAGAATAACACCCAGTGCTCATCCCGTCAAGTGCACACTTGTCCTACCTTTCTTTGGCATCGTTGTGAGTGAAACATGAAATCAAGTTTGTAAAAGCACTCGGAAAACCATAAAGCCCCATGCAAATGCAAATTATCACTATCAAATAATCTTTGACATTCCTTTCAAGGAAAACCTTCCCCTTACAGTTTGATTTTTTTCTCTCTTTTTTTTTTAAGGTGGGAGGGGTGGAACTTACATCATCAACTAGCATTATTAGGTTAGGTACTTGGCAGCATAACCCACACTGATATCATGGAAGAGAGCAGTTAGAAGTTTTCCTTGTTGAAAATGAAATGCACTCCTCGAGGGCCAGACTCAGAGTTGGAGATGCACTGTTTACTGAGGGTTTCAGCCAAGGCTTCAGGTCCGCAGAGAAAAACTCCTATTCTGGTGCTTTGGGGAAAGAAAGTAAAAATAAAAGAGTTTCAGGCTTTTGGATTACAAAGCACATGGGGGAACTTCCTCTTGATTTTTGGCTCCACGGCGGAGTCCCCCCCCCCAACTCCTGCTCCTTTGTCCTTCCCACTAACCCTGTGCGAGAGTGGCTCAGCCCTGTTTGTGGGGACAGCTACAGAAGGCAGTTGACTTCCCTGGGAAACCATATTCAAGTGGAGTTTGTAGAAATCTCTGCCACAGAGAAAACAGTGGCGAATCTGTGAGTTTGTGGACTAATTGCCTTCAGGGCTCTATGTCTCCAACCCGCTCCAGCATCTAGAAATCAGGAACACGTCTGCTTTCGGTTCACCGACTCTGCCAACAGCTGGGTGGGGCTTCATCCCTCTCTGTTTTAGATGCTAAAGCCTAGTTCCTCAGGGTGTGGTTCCAGACCAGTAGCCTCCTAGTCAACTTTTTAAAAATATAGATTCTCGGGGCACCCTGGTGGCTCAGTTGATTAAGCATCTGCCCTTGGCTCAGGTCATAATCCCGGGGTCCTAGGCTGGAGCCCTGCATGGGGCTCCCTGCTCAGCGGGGAGTCCGCTTCTCTCTCTGCCTCTCCCCCTGCTTAGGCTCAACAGCTGGCTCATTCTCTCTCTCAAATAAATAAATAAAATCTTAAAAAAAAGAAGTGTAGATTCTAAGGCCCCACCCTAGACCTACTAAATCAGCATCTGCATTGTGAAAAGATCCCCCAAGTGATTCATATGCTCATTAATGCATAAAAAGCAAAGGCCTGAAAGGTCTATTTGTGGTGATTTCATGAGTTTATCAAGTGTTGTAGCAAGATAGAGGAGCCCCTCAAAGTTTCAGAAAGGATAGAAAGGACCTTAGGATGTCCGGCAACTTATGATTCTAGACCCAAAACCTAAACACTGAATGTAGGGACGGTATCTCCCTAATAATCAAGGTAGAAATCATATTGAATTAAAAGAGATTTAGGAGCTGAAGGAAAAGAAGTGGGTTATGGCCCTACTTGGGGGGAGCAGGGTGCAGAAAGTCAGAGGTGGGGGGTGCCCCAAGCATCTTTGTTGATAATAACTCCAGATAATTTTGGTGTGATTTAAAGACTCCCTCATAAAGTCCTGCATAACTAGAACCTTTTATGGGTTGTCAGTATAGTCATCTGGGTGTATGTTAGTTTTCAGAATATACAAATCTAGCTGTGTTGGGAGCCAGTGCTTCCGACGGAGCACAAGCCTCAAGGACACCTTGCTGGGGGACTCCTTACTTTGGGTGTTGACTTGCAATCGTCTTGAATTCATTATCCCAGTTGGGCCGTCCATACAGGGTCTTTTGTTTCAGGCCCGTGATCACGTCTTTCTCCTCGTCATGGTGCACGGCAAAGTGATTGGCCTGTGGGAAAGGACATGAAGTCACAAAACAGAGACACACTGTACCAAAGTACAGATAGATTGACGTATCTCACAGGCCAAGCTCTCGCTAACCATATATATCTGAAGGCTAGAAGGTACATCAAAATGAATAAACCGGGTCTCTTCAGGCAATTTATAATCTAGAAGGGCCAACCTGGAAGTAAGAACATGAATCATCCTATTTGTAGAATAGGGTATCATGAGTGCCATGGGAGAGGCACAAATATCTCAGTAAAAGCTAAGAGAGTTGGCATGGGAGGATGGGAAGATTGCAGCCTGGCAGCACCTGACATCAGGCTTTGAAGGTGTGGGTAGGATTTAAATACTGTTTCACTGTTTTTCTCTCTGTTCTGCATGTGACTTTCTCTCTTCCCCCTAATATACTTACTCCCACTCCTTTAGGAGAATCACTAAGAACTAAAGTAACTACAGATTAAAATGCATTCATATTTTGGCAACATAATGACACAACAAATCAAGTCTAAAACTAGTCTGTGTGTGTGTGTACATAGTCACGTGTTGTTTTCTGCTACCATTCTACCGGGCCTCAGCTCGACCAACAGATATTTTTCATAAAAGTGGTTAATTAGGGGCACCTGGGTGGCTCAGTGGTTGAGCATCTGCCTTTGGCTCGGATTGTGATCCTGGAGTCCTGGGATCGAGTCCTGCATCAGGCTTCCCACAAGGAGCCTTCTCCCTCTGCCTATGTCTCTGCCTCTCTCTCTGTGTCTCTCATAAATAAATAAAAACAAAATCTTTTTTAAAAAGTGGTTACTTAAATTTATTTAAAACTTGAATCAGATTTTAAATTCACTGGACAGGGGATAGATGATGGGGATGGAGGAGGTAAGGAAGGGTGACCACTCTGGTTTAATAATCCTGTAGGGACCAGTTTCGTAGAGCAAAATAGTTATTTTTTTTTAAAAGATTTTATTTATTTATTCATGAGAGACACAGAGAGAGAGAGAGGCAGAGACACAGGCAGAGGGAGAAGCAGGCTCCACGCAGGGAGCTTGACGTGGGACTCGATCCCAGGTCTCCAGGATCAGGCCCTGGGCTGAAGGCGGCGCCAAACCACCAAGCCATCCGGGCTGCCCGAAAATAGTTATTTTTTTGATGCAAATAAATTTCCCATTTAAAAAATTGTGCCTGGCTTTTTAAATCATAAAACTGCAAAGTAATTTGTATTTATAGATTTTTTTAATGTTCAACAATTTATCAATTGTGTATAAAACCCAGTGCTCATCACATTTTTTTCTCTGGGTTTCATTTTTATCGATTTTACCATTTATCAAATATTTGTTGTTTCGTTTTTAAATTGCAGAAATGGCATCTTGAAATCCTTTTTTCTGGAGCAGCAAAGTTTACGGGTCATGTGTTCCTGGATCTACATTTGTAACAAGACTCTTCTAAGACTTGGAGAATCTATGATAAACAATAAACTGAAACCCAAGTGAGGAGTCCATTTTCACAAGTACAAGGTGCATGTGAAACCTGCCCAGGATGTGTGGCTATGGCCAGCTGAGACACTGGCCAGGGAAAGGAGGAGACTCTTGCCTTGGCTACTCATGCAGGGGGAGCTTATGCTGCTTATGCTGCTTCCAGGCCAAATTATTTTTGTTTGCTTATTTAGGAAGATTTTACCCCCTAGGAATCAGTAACTTGTTTCAGAGTTTCCTAATCTCAGCACTTTTGTCACTTGAGGCCAGATAATTCTTTGTTGGGAGGGGTTGTCTTATAAATTGTTTTCATTGTTAAATGTCCCTGGATAGATAGATAAAACATGTTATGGATTATGCATTATATGTTATATTACACACACACATATACATACACATATGCTATATACATATACACATATGCACACAAATATATTTCATCTTCATTAAATATGTTTTGCTTTATTTATAAATAATAATCATAAACTAGTGGGAGTTCCTAAGAGTGCAGGCTCTGGAACATTCTGCCTCTGCCTCTTACTAGTTGGGTGCCCTTGGACAAATGACCTAACCTGTTCTGGGCTCTGGTTTCCTCATCTGTAAAGTGTGGATAATAAGAGTTTCTACTTCATAGGGCTATTTTAAGGATCAAGTTAGCCAATCTATGTAAACACTAATAAAAATACCTAGCACATTATATATGCTTAATAACTATGCACAATTATTATTACTACTTACTAAATGCATTATGTATATTGTGAAATGCATATAAACAAAATTAATGGAATATGTGTGTGTGTATAGATATAAAAATAGAAAGACAGAGAGAGAGAGAGAGAGAGAGAGAGACATAAAGAGAGGAGAAAGACAGCTAATATTTTCTTCCCATTACCCTATGGATCATCTTGTCCAGCTGGTTCAAGACCCCTGGTAGGAACGTGATTCTCACAAGGTCAAAGGCATGGCTCTTATATCCTTGTGGGCTCCTTAACGCTAATCTGTTCCACAGATACCAACTTTGAATCTAGTCTCAAGAGTCTGAACATGTGGGGATATTGAGTGAGAGTGAATAGGCCGGATCACCAAATCCATTAACTCTTCTTGGTAAAAACAACAACAACAAAAAAAAAACAAAATGAAATGAAAACACAGTACACAAAACACGGCAATAACCAAAGGGAAGCAATCAGCCCCGGGCATTGTGGGAAGGATCCGAGAGCCGGGATCTCTCCCTCACCTGAGACTCATCCCAGCCAGTGAGATAGATGTTATAGCTGAGGAAGCCAGCGTTGTTCCTCTCCTGCATCTGGGTCTCTAGCAGCTGCAGCAAGTCCGCAAACCACTCAAAGGCGTGCGTGTCCCGGCACAACCAGTAGAAGTATATCTGCAAGAGCAACAGATCAAGAGGCAGATTATACTTAAATAGGCCTCATCAGAATGACATATGTATTTCTAACCTCCCCTCCCCCAACTTTTTCCTGCAGCTCAGGATGCCTAGAAACAGAGGTTTTCAGAAAGCTCTGGACATTTCACAAGCTAGCTCACAAGAGCCTGCACTTGCACTGGCCTTCACCCTGTGGGGCAGTAAATAAATAGCTCCGTCTCAGAAATACATGGCTTAGGAAAACAGTAGCTCACCACCTTCCTCCTGGGCCTACTCTTGTCCACCTCACCTCCCTGGTTTCCTTTGTACCTCCTGTCAGAAAGACCAATGCCACCTAGGCTGGCAGTGGCTGCCACAGGACTACTCCACTGCCTGCTAATGCCAGACATTCCTGGGTTCCTAAGGGAAAAAACGCCCTTCTTCCCATACCTCCTCCATATAGTAAAGACAGAAAGGGGAGAATTAAAAAGTCAATGGATGCTCCATGTCCCAATTAGAGGCTATCTCCAAAGTTATTAGAATGACTCATGTTTTATTCAAGATGTCCTTTATCGGGCAATGAAACCAAATTTACATGTGACCAAAAAATTGCCCTGGGAATTTATTTATTTTTTAAATGATTTTATGTATTTATTCATGAGAGAGAGAGAGAGAGAGAGAGAGAGAGAGAGAGAGGCAGAGACACAGGCAGAGGGAGAAGCAGGCTCCATGCAGGGAGCCCCACGTGGGACTCGATCCCGGTCTCCAGGATCAGGCCCTGAGCCGAAGGCGGTGCTAAACCACTGGGCCACCCGGGCTGCCCGGCCTGGGAATTTATTGTGAGGAAATACCCATAAGAAAGTAAGTAAGTTTCATGAAAGGACATGTCTCCTGCCCTCCCCTTGCAAAAAAAAAAAAAAAAGACTGGGGGACGGAAATGGACTCAATCTCAGTATCTAACACGGATCGATAGAACAATTGTTCTATATCCCCTCAAAGGAACATACAAGAATCATTAAAAAAAAAGATCATGACAAAGCCTGTGACAACACTGGAAAACACTGTTTTCCTAAAGCAGGACACGGAAGCATTCCTACTCAATATTTACAACTCCCCAAGAGTATGTAAACACGTAGGAAAACATCGGCAGAGGAGCAGCCACAAAGAGGGCAGCTGCTGCGTTGGGGTTGTGAATACTTTCTACCCCAACCTCCTTTCTTCCCAGTTTCTACGAACGCCTTGCAAGTGCAGCATGTTACTTGCAACAGGCCTGCTGACGCACGAGCACATCCGACGTGTGAACAGCCCTTTTAGGAGGTGTGGGTCTCTCTGGACCCAGCCGGAACTTGTCTTCACTTCCTTGGGTCTCGGCCAGCTCCGCCCCAAGGCCCTCAGCGGCCTCCCTGGGGGGGTGGGGGGGACTGCCCACGCCCTCGGAAACCCTGAGGGCCTTACCTTTTTGAGCCTCAGGTTGGTGGCGTTATTGCAATATTTGTACCAGACCGACTTGAGAATGGATGCAAAGGGCGTGACCCCGATCCCTGCTCCCACTAACATCACCACCTCGTAGCTGAACACGTCTTCGCTGGCCGTGCCGAAGGGCCCGTCCACCGCTATCCTGGGGGGAAGCGCGAGGACGTGGTTACAGGGCTGCCTTGCGCTAAAGAGTCCGACACAGCTCACCCCGGGGATGTGTGATGTGTCACATCGCCCCGGGACAGTGTCCTTGTGGGGCACTTTCTTCTATGAAATAGCTTTCAAGTAACCAACTCAGTGTCAACATTGTGGTTGGAAGTAAGAAGAGGAAGTCTTAGCTAACTGAAAATATTTGGTAACTCTCGGGGGTATTTTTTTCATCTCTCCACCCTTTGACCTACGCCCCCACACCCACACCCAACCCCCCCCCACACACAGACTCACACACACACAAACACACAGACTCACATACAGACTCATACACACGTAGACTCTCACACACACGCACACACCTGTACTTCTTGCCAGGGCACCCCACACTTGAAATTCCTGCTTACTTTGCACACTGAAGTGAAGTGCGAATTTTCTGTCATAACATCTTCTAACTTTAACACCTTCACTTCTCATTTGTCTATTCACTGAGTCAACCGACAAGCTTTTCTTTAGCATCTTCTAAGTGCCTGGCACCATCTCAGGCACGTGGGAAGAACGGGACAAAGTGAATAATATATGGCATTTACCCTCAAATAACATATGTCAATTAAATTTTAAGAATATCTTTGATATACTAGAACTTCGTTTGTTAGAAAAGTTAATATACTTTGGCCTTGCCCCTTACATTTTGAAAGGAATTGGGGAATAGTCATTATTAATGTTGGATTCAAATATTTCATATTCCGCACAAGATTTATAAGTACATGCCTAAACACACTGCACACATAAAATGGGGAACACAGAAATAGCTACCTGTATTTGTAGAACTTGTGTGTTTGGTCAGACCAAGGAGACAGGGTAGTGAGAGGTGAGACAGGGAACCTATTTAGTGACATTCTTTTTCTGAACTCATACACTTTCATAAATATGCGCTTTGTACTTACTTAGGTAATTTCCAAGCATCTTGAAACTCCTGCTTATCACAGCCACAAGCATTGAAAAGTCCTTCCGTCCAGTCCCCAACAATCCGAATATGGATGCTAAAGAAGTCTTCCTCCGGGGCAGAGGTCAGTGTGAAAGGGTGCCACTCCAGACTGGACACCTTGGGGCACTTGACAAAAATGTACTGTCCCACTTCCATCTTGAATCCTTTCTTCTTCATCTGTAGCTCAATGGTTTTGAAAGGGTGAGTGACCACCTATGGAATAAAACATGTGTCTGGAAACTACACTTTCCCCAAATACTTGTCTTTTCACTGTCCACACAGACAAAAGTTTGAGCGAACATGCCCACCCACATCCATTCTTCAGGGCCAACGCAGCCTTTCCTCCAACAGATGTGGCCCTCATTCAGAGTTGCCCTCGGCTGGAGCCCACGGCCTACGATGAGCAGGGGTACAAAGGACTGGCCCCTGGGTGGCTCAGTGGCTGAGCATCTGCCTTTGGCTCAGGTCACGATCCCGGGGTCTTGGGATCCAGTCCCGCACCAGGCTCCCCCACGCAGGGAGCCTGTTTGTCCCTCTGCCTATGTCTCTGCCTCTCTCTGTGTGTCTCTCATGAATAAATAAAACGTTAAAAAAAAGGACTGGCCCTGTCCTCAACTTGAGACAACTCCCAGACGTCATCCCAACCCCCTGCTCTCCTTGTAGGATCAGCTGAGGCTGCAGCTGCAACCACCCAGAGTCATTCATTTCCTCCCCAATTTCTGATTTTCTTTTCTTTCACAGGTTCATCTCTTGAGAACACATCCCAGAAACCTTCTGTCTGTGATTGTTTGTCTCAGAGTCTTGCCAGGGAGTCCAGCCTAAGACACCAGCCTATTGTGATATTTTTTTTCTCCCAGAAGTCAAGGCAGGTCCTAGCAACAAGAAGAAGAGATGGCTCTCTGCCCGGCCTTCCTGTCTCCTGGGGGATGCTCGAGAGCCTTGGCAGCTGGAGAGAAGGAGATCCCCTGGGCTGGCTATTTAGCAACATCCCGCAAGCCAAGCTGCATGTACTGATCTATCTTTGTTCTGACTCACACCTTGGATCTGCCTTGGAATCCACCTGATTCTGCCTGTCTACATTTCCACCGACCCTGGAAGTACACTCTCTGTCTCCCCCAAAGCACACCCCATGGCCATCCCCCTTCTCCATGTGTGCAAGGGCATGGCATCTTTGTTTACAACAGCAAAAACGGTCCAAACGTCCAGCAGCTGGTGAGGTGGTAAATAACTTTTACAAAGAAAGCACAATAAAAAGATGTCATTATAATACAGAAAGTAATATACTGTTTCTGGGACGATTCCTGAGATACACGGGACTTTCTATGTACAACTGGAAAACCAACCAAGGCACATCAAAGGAATAGAAGAAGCAATAGAAACAACATAGCAGCTTCCTAAATGTTGACTGACAGTGCTGAGCTTTTCCCTCCGTGAGTGAAAAGGGATAAGATGGGAAACCCTTTTGCTAAACATCGCCAAGCATTTCCCAAACTTGTGATTTCAGTCCATCTTAAATGATAAAGCAGTACCTAACGTCCTTTCATCACTAAAATAAAGAGACCTAAAGCTTCATTTTGGAAACAGAAAATAAAAATTGACAAAAATTATTTTGAATATGGTGTTCACTGTGTCGCAACTTTGTGTGGTGAGAAAATTTTTCCCCCGTTGCAATTTTGCTGCCACAGGTGCAATTGGGATTCAACTCCATAAAATGCACTAGTGGAATGGACATCGGAATACTTGGGGATGACACCTTGTTTCTTACTTGTTTTTGAGAAGAAAATGAGTCTCTGTTTTTATGAGTAAAAAATGATTCTTTGCTCCAAGGGAAAACAAAGTTGCCTTTAAAATATGTTTAAAGGAAATACTTGCCTGCTTAGTCAGGTCTAACCTAGTAAGGGAAATTTTGTGGCAGCCCCTCTTGCTTTTCCGTGGGCTTTTTCTTATAATACAGTATAAGTAAAAAAGGAGAACTGCTGTAGCTTCCTATATTTCAAGATTTCCAGTGCCAGCTGGACTAACTTTACTGTGGCCTTCCACAGATGCCAAGAGAGAAAAGCTAGGGTGGAGGACAAGAAGAATTCAGTGTTGTGCAAGAATAGCCCGTAGTAGCTTTTAGTAAACACTTTTTGAACTGTATTGAATGGAATTAAATTGTATTTGATAGGGGTACCAGGGTGGCTCAGCGGTTGAGAGTCTGCCTTCGGCTCAGGGCATGATCCCGGAGTCCTGGGATCGAGTCTGGCATCGGGCTCCTCGCGGAGAGCCTGCTCCAGTCTCCGCCTCTCTCTCTATGTCTCTCATGAATAAATAAAATAAAATCTTGAAAAACATTTAAAAATTTATTTGATAAAACTAGTTTTGTCTGTTGTTTCCTGAAATGACAACCAGGAGTTTCTATCTATTGAGTTGGGTGTTTAGTTAGTAATGAGAAGCAGCACAGAAGCATGGGGAAAAAGTTGTCATATACCTGGAGTTAGCAGACTCAATTCTGGATGCAGTTTAGTTACTAATTTCCTTGAGACTTTGGGTTCTTCAGCTGTGATATTCTATGATTATATACACAGCACAGAAAAGGAGGTAAAGGGAGGCCTGGAAAATTATCTCAACCTCAGTCACTCCTGCCCTTGGCTCCCTGGTTCTTTTGGCATCTGAGTATTTTAAGGCTCAGTGTGTACCCTTTCGAAATCATGTGTTTTGCTTCTTCACTCTTATCTGCTCACATCATCATTGTGTGTTCCTCCTCCCTTCTACACACGCACGCACACATACACACAGATTCGTGTATGCAAAGCAATCAGCTTTATATTGCAACAGAAAATGTTAACTTGTACTTCTTCCAGCTAAAAAGTCCAATCATTTGATTATCAAGCTAAGTACACTGAAATAAACTGTTGGTCTTCTCTCTGTCCTATGTTTAATTAAGAAACTAAGAGGAAGCCAGCTCCTAGCAATGCTATAGGGAACTTGGGTAAACATGATATAGTTAGATACTGTTAGTAATTCCCAAACCAGACCATACCTTGGTGATGACCACTTTCTGTTGAGATCGCCAAAACCGTACCAACCTCTCACAGAGATACAGAAACATGGGACCTACTATCCATTTCCAAGTCTGTAATGAGAGCAAAACATGAAAACACGGTGTGTTAAGGGGTAATAGCTGATATAAGATTCATGGGGACAAAACATTTTAGAAGTCAATCTTTGTAGGCTTGTTTAAATACTCAGGATCACATTCATAAATTTCTAATACAACAGAATGCATGAAAAATATCTAAAATTAAAATAAATTTTTGAGCCAACGCAGATGAACATTCTCCTTAGCCACATTGGGAAACTTTATCTACAGTATAAAACTTTCCCAAGAGGAACTGCCCACAAGAATGAGATTTCCTCCTGGTGTTGCAATAGAAGTTGCAGTGACCCTACAGCGGAGCAAGATTAGTTTCAGAATTAATATTTCTCTTAAGGATAGCATTTCAACAACACCATATTTTTTAATGCAACATTGCAGTTGCTTTCTCTCATCCTTGTAGCCAAAGCTTAATCTTTTGCAAGATAAGAAATTTCATCCAAAGAATTTAGCTGTTTCTCCAATATCCTGGTAAGTTCTAGGAGCTATGCAATGCACCTGCCGAAGAGGGACAAGCCCAAAGATTTTCAGATTTCTTTAGATTCCCCTCCCATCAGAATCTTCAGTGTTCCACAATACTGGAATCACCTTGTAGTACTTCTAACTATATGAAAACCTTTAGGATAAGCAAATCCATCCTGGGACTCCATCAGTTAGGTTCCTAGTTTAATACCTGAAGTAGCAAACAGTTTTAGAAGGCAGAATCATTTAAAAGATGGCATTCCAGAATGGATTTCAAGAAAGAAAAATAAAATTACAGAGTGCTTGCTACAGCCTCACATATGATCTTTCTATTACATTTTTTTGAGAAACTTTTTATTGGAAGTTGAGAGCACCTGAATGTCCCCACCTCCAGCCAAAGTGGAAGGATATCTGCTCTGAAAGTCAGAAATATTCTGCTGCTGGCCTTTGTCTTCATGGGACAGGTTTTTAAAACAGGCTGGCATCATGCATCTACTTCCTAGGGGCCACAGTGGGGTTCCATTGAATGGAGCAAGGTCTTGGACATTGCCTCTAATCCCAGAAAGCCAGAAGCTCCTTTGAGGTAGATGCCTGTTAAGGTAGTAGTACACTGATTCCAGCTGTCTTCAAGGAAATGTGCCTTCCTCTAACCCATAAGAGGACCCTCGATGCAGTTCCTTTTTTAATCCCTTTTTTTTTAATCAATAGATGTCTGCATGTAGTGGGAGCAGTTCACTGATACATCTCGTTGCTTTCATTAATGAGCAAGGATCCTTAAAGATGTTAAGTCCTTGGACAGCAGACTGTGTCTTAGAGAAAGAAAATTCCTATGTTAAGAGTGTAGAAAAAAGAAAGGAGATAATGGGATGGGACATTTACCTTTATATTATACTGTGCTTAAACAACAACAACAACAACAATTCTGTTCAGAAGCCCTATACAGGGGATCCTTGGGTGGCTCAGCGGTTTAGCACCTGCCTTCGGCCCAGGGCATGATCCTGGAGTCCCGGGATCAAGTCCCACATCGGGCTTCCTGCATGGAGCCTGCTTCTCTTGCTGCCTATATCTCTGCCTCTCTCTCTCTCTCTGTGTATGTCTTTCATGAATGGATAAATAAAATCTTAAAAAAAAGAAGCCCTATACAAATGTTGATTTTTACCTAGTTTTATACCAATGGTTAGCATGATAACCAATAAAGTACATTACTTGTCAATGGAGGAAAAGATATGAAGAACACAGGGCCCACTTCTCACTCAGTGGAGTGGAGATACCAAGAATTCACAAAATGGAACTTTGCAGAGCACCCAACAAGAGCTCCCAACAGAAGGTAAATATTCCAGCATGTTTCCCCTTGGTCATCCTTGCCACAATCCTGCTCCACATGCAAAGCCAATGGGCGTTGGTCTGAACCTGGCTGTCCAGTATCCTTTGTATGGTATAGGCATTCCTCCTGATGGTTAAAGGCAGCCCTATGTGTCATTTCATCAATTTCCTTCCCAGCTTTGAAAGCTGTATAGAAAGTCTTATTTCTGGGGGTGCCTGGGTGGCTCAGTTGGTGAAGCATCTGCCTTCGGCTCAGGTCATGATCTCAGGCTTCTGGGATCAAGCTCCACATTGGGCTCCCCACTCTGCAGGGAGTCTGTCTCTCCCTCTCCCTCTGCCTGCCCCTCCCACTGCTTGTGTGCTCTCTCATTCTGTCAAATTTATCAATAAAATCTTTAAAAATAAAAAAAGAAAGTCTTACTTCCTGGTATCTGAGGAGACTTTTAGCTCCTTCTAAGTGATTATCTGAGCTATCCAACTTCTCTCAGAATGGATCCCTGTGGAAATCATTAACTGTTATTATTGTGGCCCTCACATCTGGAAGAGAAGAGATGGAATTTCTTCAACTTCAACAGCACTTTCAAAAATAATGCTCTTCCATGTTTTATATCAGGATGTTCATAATAGTCCAATGCAATCCTTACTCTTTAAGAAATAATTCTAGACAGTAAGTAGAGAAATAAAAAGTCAATACTTCTAACATTCTAGTAGTTCCCCGGCATTCATAATGGACATCTCTATGGCATTTGTATGTATTTCTTAGACACAGGTTAAAGATTGTTGGTAATGAAATTGTAATAGTAACAATGAGCTGTACATACCATAGGAGGGTTTCCAGAGAACTGTGGGATTGGACAGTCAGGTATTTTTCCCCATTGTGAGATATTGTCCGCACAAACTTTATAATTGTGTTCCAGTCTACTCGCTGCAGTCTGCCCACGTACAATTCGCCTGGGGAGGAAATGTAAGTCCAGACCATTTAGTAGAAAGAAATTAAGTTCTTATTTTTTGAGATTCTAAGAACATCTCAAGTATTCTAGTATGGATCCTGTACTTTCTATTTAACAGTTATATCTTATTGATCCCTGAGTAGATTTGAGAGAAAATATGTCTTCTTCAGCAATAGAAAAAAAAACCATATGTATGATGGCACAAGAATATGTAGATTTTGGATCATCAATATGTGTTTTCTCAAAGGAAGCATTTGTGCTTCTGCTTCAAGATTATTTTCATTTATAAGCAAGCAAGCAAAAAACAGGAAAGCTGCAAATCTAACAGAGCAAGGCCCATACAGTGCCTTTCTGCAAATTACAAAAAGATGCCCCCGCCCTGCCCCTATGAAGACAGTCCCAGAAGCACACAGGTTGGCCCCAAAGCATGGGCTAGTAGTATGCCCCACGGATAGGCACCCCTGTGTGGGGGATGGTCCATACTGTCACACAGTAGCTCTGAGGTTTAGTCCAAGTGTTTCATTTGTTGTTCCAAAATTGTCTAAATTAAAATCAAAAGGTCGAAATCAATTTAAGAGTACCTTGTGGAGATTGTGACATTCTCAGAGCTATCAACACTAATGGTATGTCCTTTGAGGTGCTCAGAACCCATTCATTTCAATTCCATAAATTGTAATTAAAGCAACTGCTAACACACAAGATGATGTGAGTTTAGTGGGAACAGAGGAAGGAGGCATAGAGTCAGGTAAGTCATGTTCCCAACCTCAAGGAACATAAATGGCAGGGTCTTCAGAATATATACTAAGAAGAGACACAGAAGGCCTTTTGCCATAGTTGTATGGGGGACCTAACATGTATTGTGCCACTTGATATATTCTGTGACTGTTTTAATTCAAGGCTGTTAACCTTTTTTTTTCTATCCCTAGGTCTTGGGGCAGAGAAATACCATGTATTGAGCATTTATTATGTGCCAGGCCTGGGGAAAGTTACTCTACACAAATTATCTCAGTTGACCTTCATAACAAGCCTGAATGGTAGGTATTGGCACCCCCATTTAGCATATGAGAACATCGAGGCTTAGAGAAACTAGTAACTTAGAAGCAGAATGATTGTGAGAAAACAGTTTTGGGCCTGAGTCAGACAGCCTTGGTTTCAAATCCCAGGTCCACCCCTGGCTAGTTTGGTGGTCTTGGGGAAGTTATTCAACTTCTTCTGAGCTTCACTTTCTTCAGCCAGAAAATAGGTTTAGCCATACTTAATCAAAGGGGTACTTTAGCGACCAATTGGCCTGATGCATAAAAAATGCCAACACAAGGTAAAAATACAACAAATGATAATTATCAAAGTCCCTAATGCCCAAGTTCACTTGGAGAGGAAGTGTGAGGAAAGAAAAAAAAAGGATTCTCCCTTCTTCTCACTGCCAGGACCAGAAGTAAAAAAACCTGGGTTTTAATCCCAGTTCAGCCGCTGCCTGGCCATGAGACTGTGAGCAATCAGCCAACCAGTGTAAGTAGCAGATGGAGAGTGGGGCAGATCTATCTATCTCCTCTGCTCCAAAGGGAAATGCATAGTTGTGAAACTATACAAGCAGAAAGAAAGTGGTGGAATCACTAAGCTAGAGAGGAGAAGGGATTCAGTTTTTGTCTCTAGGGTTCTCTGAAACAGCTGGATTATGACCAAATCTCATTTAAAGATATTTGATTGCTTGAGGAGAGTCAAGAGATTGTCTACGCAGATTTTTCAGTGGTTGCCTAATGCTGCTGCTTCTCACCCTTCCCCTTTTCACACTCAGGTCTTAGTCACCTCGAGGCTAACTTGGCTCCCAGCAGAGAACATCAAGCAGAGCCTTGAGCATCTGCTCTCTTCACACTGAGTTATATGGAGACCCAAACTCACCAGGGAACTCCCCCAGCCTACTTTTGTGTGCAGGTGTGAGAATCGCTGGTGTGAAACAGCATAAAAGGGAAACTGGGTATTAAATAGGATTCCCAGTAAGACGAACTGTCTACCACACATGCAGGCACTGTGAGTCTCTATGAGAGTATTTGTCTGCTGGTGGTCTGCTTTACACCACCTGGGCTCCGATCCTAGCTCTGCCACTTACAAACTGAGTGTCTTGGGCTATATCTTTTACCTTTGTTAGCCTGTTCCTTTGTCTACAATTTCCCCAGGAAATGGGGATTAAGAGTGTCTCTACCTAAGAGAAACATTTCATGTCTATAACAAATGCTCAATAGAAGTGAGCTCTTACCTTTGTCATATTAGAATGCTGAAAGGCAATAATCATGCATTTTTCCTTCTAGTATTCCCCCACTGTGCCTGAGATCAGTCCTCATATCCACAGTCAGTGCCTACATCCAATAAATGTCCAGCTTGAATTGAAGCTCATTGAACTACAGCAAACCCCTTCAGCTGATTAATCATTAGCCCCTCCAGTTTGGGACTGTCTAATTTACTAGCGATTAAGCCATAAGAAACATCATTGCAGACATCCAAGACCCCTCCAGCACCCTTAACGTGTTTTACACACTTGCAGAGGTACTCAAGCTTTGGTGTATTTTTTTCTAGCTTGCTAGAAATAAATACATTAATAATAGCTATTATTAAATTACTTCAGCAATAATGGCTATTAATCGGGTACAAGAAACTAAAATTCTGCTGAGTGGTCTCTATCAGACTGACCTCTGTGGGCCCCTCCTCATTTTCCCTCAGCAGACAGGCTAACCACAAACAGACAAGGAGATCACAGTGCCTCTAACAGCATCACACCTGGAAATGGAAGGACTTAAAGGACTTCACCTCAGAGATGAAACACTCACTCAGCTCCATGGATGGCGAGTCCGATGAAGAAGATCACGAAAAGATGGTGTGTGTACCAAAACACTTCAAAGTAAGACCTCCGGATGGTTTTGGTGGAGGAGGTGATAATTAATATGAGGCACAGTGTGATGACAATGCCAGTGATGCCGGCCAACAGAGTCACAGCCACGTATAGACCTCCTTCAGGATTCTGTAAAATATAAACACACACACACACACACACACACACACACATTACTCACAGGCTCTTAAATGCAGGACTACCTATTTATAAAATGTCCAGTGTACAGAGCAACAGATATTTTCAATCCCCCTTAGATAATCCTAACCATCCCTCACAGAGTGATATAGACTTGGAATAGATATTTCTCAATTTAAAAACATCTTATGTGGTTGAGGTGTCATAGGAAGTACTAATCAATATACTGAAATAGTTCTGAAGGAGTGTCTAATAAAGAACATTGGTGAGCTATAAGACGTCCTAAAAGGGTCTGAAGACATCCTAAAAGGGTCTGAAGCTCCTTCTCCCTTTGGTCTGGAAAAGGCCATGGTGCTTAGCCTGCAAATGTATTGTGGGCATGCCTACCATCTCAGGCGGGGTTCCCCTGAAGCAGATAGACATTGAGATGAGGCTTCATTAGCAAGTGATTTTTAAAAAGTGTGTTCCAGAAGAGACTGGTAAGAAGATGGGTTATAGGACAGGAAAGAGAAATAAGTCAAATAAGAGGGTGATCTTAGGCCAAGTCTTTAGAGAGGGTAGCTTCAGCCTGATGCTGCTGAGGAATGATGGAGGGTGAGTTCATCCTGACTCAAGGCAAGGAAGCTGGGCTTTCGTGGCCTGTGCCCATCAGTTATTGGCTAACAGCTGCCCACAGAGAGGTTATAGGACAGGAAAGAGAAACAAGTCAAATAAGAGGGTGATCTTAGGCCAAGTCTTTAGAGAGGGTAGCTTCAGCCTGATGCTGCTGAGGAATGATGGAGGGTGAGTTCATCCTGACTCAAGGCAAGGAAGCTGGGCTTTCGTGGCCTGTGCCCATCAGTTATTGGTTAACAGCTGCCCACAGAGAGGTAGCCTTCCAGGCCCTTCCAGATCTCTGAGCTTGTGGGCAAAAGGACTCCCTTAGGAGAAAGAAACCCAGGTATCAGAAATTGAAAGTGGAAACACAGAAAGGTGGAGGGAACACAGACATAGTACAAGTGGTTCAAAGAGATCCAGGCAGAGCATGGCAGTTGGCTCACCTAGCATGTTCACATTGCCTTCCTTCTGTATCATTGTACAATGAGCAATAGGAAAGAAAAATTATCCCAGGCATTACAGAAAAGGAGTTTGTTTACTTTTATGCAAGTTTATTTTTTTTATGTTAGCCTGAGGAGAATGATTTCTACAAAGTTACGCGACTTTTCTGATCATCTTTTCTAAACACGAGGAACTGTATTTGGAATTCGGTGTATGATTTTGTGACTTGGCCACCTCCCCCCCAAGCCATTGGGCACATGAAGATGACTTGGAGCTTCTCTGTCTGAGTGTAGGAAGCTTTAGCAACTGCTGGAAGGGAAGCAGTCCTTGCTGTGGCTATCCTAAATGGCTGCCCCTGGAAGACCACAGAGTTACTCCCAGTGCATTCAGCTGCTCATGGATGATAATCAGCAGACATAGGCCACCCCTCAGATGTTCTAGGCAAGAGAGAAGAAAAGTGCCTCTGCTGGCTGGCCTGGGACTAATACCAAGGCGGGAGTGTTCCCTATTTCACATGAACAATTTCATAGTACATCAGATGATGTCATTCTGTGACTGTGGGGGAGTGAGACAAAAACAAGACCACTCCAAAATTATGTCAGAGCCAAGACAACAATACAAGTGACTGCTGCCAAGATACCCAATTCTCGAAAGACCTCCCCCCAATTCCTGACCATATCTGAGGCAGAGCAAATCCTTGCTTTCTTAAACCCCTCCAAAACCACCTAACACAAGTCCATGTCCTACAACAAGCCTCTATTAACACCTTGGAATGTCCCAGACTTTCTCATGGTGGGAGGTCTCTTTTGCTGCAGTAAGTAATAACTCAACTTTGTTTGACTAGATGTGTGTTCTTGTCTTTCTTTGATGGTGGGCATTGTCATGGCTGAGCCTGAGTTAGTCCAGATGCCACAGGTGGGCCTCAGGAACTGGAAACCATCTAGAGACCCTCCACACATGGGGTCGGGAATGTGGGGGACATCTTCTCTGTACCCACATTCTTAGAAACAACAGGCAGGCTCATCCCACTGACAGTTAGTCAACCTTTGTCATTGTTGTTGTTCTGCCCAAGTGGAGTTCTTCACTCACTGAAATCTAGTCTCAGTTTTAATGGCCTAGGGAACATCTGCATTAGGAAAGAGGGGCCTTACCTTGATTCTCCTTCGAGCAAAATTGAGGTAACTTTCACCAGGATTATCTCCAAGGTTAGAGAGTGCTATTGAGTAATTGTCAGAATTGTTGACTCGCGCATTCACACACCACTCCACATTAAATAAGTGGGCAATGGTATGAATTGCTGAAGAGGAGAGAGAAGAGAAACAAACAAGGTGAAGAGTGAGCACAATTTTACTGTAAGCTGGGTTTCTGCCTCTAGCCCCTGACTCTGTGATAAGTTACAGGGAGACACAGGAATGGCCCAGGACACTTAGACACAAGAACTGTATCTCCAGACCAGAGAGGCAAGACAGGTCTAGTGGGTAAGCTGTTCTCCAGTTGTGAAATCGTACGCAAATCACTTGACCTCTCTGGTCTTGGTTTCCTCATTTGTAAAATGAAGATGTTAAACGACACCATCCTAAAGATCCAAGCAAGTTCTAAGATTCTACAAAAATAATCTTGGTCTCCGAGGATATTTAGCTGTGTTCTCATTGTCTCTCTCCTCCTAATATATTTATGCTCAAACAAAAAGACTCTCATGTAATGTATGTCTTTGGCTGGCTCATTCAACTGACTCTGACATTATGCCAGAAAGACAACAAAATTTTATTGAACTGATATAAACCAATGGCCACAAGAGTGAATATCTTTTTGAAAATTGCATTCCTTACTTAACAAGCACTTATTTAAAAAAATATTTTATTTATTCGTGAGAGACACAGAGACACACAGGCAGAGGAACAAACAGGCTCCATGCAGGGAGCCCGACGCAGGACTTGACCCCGGGTCTCCAGGATCATGCCCTGGGCCAAAGACAGCGCCAAACTGCTGAGCCACCCAGGCTGCCCTTAACAAGCACTTATATACAATTACTGGGTGCCGAGAACTGTTATAAGTGCTTTATAATGACTTAATCCTTATATGGAGGCTATGATGTAGGTACTACTAGTATCATCTCAACTTACAGATAAGAAAACTGAAGCATAGACTGCTTTAATGTCTTGCCCAAGATCACCAAGCTAGGAAGCAGTAGAGTTAAGAATCAAATACAAGCAGTCTGGTACTCAAATCTTTGCTTCTGACCATTATGCTATGTTACTTTCTGATAAGATTTTATCATGCATTTTGCATTTGAACCATTTTGTTTGCCACAGCTTAGAAAGCCTGCACAGTCTACTAATAAGAGAAATCCAGTTGAATAGCTGTAATCTAAGATTATTTTACTCAAATTATGGGTAAACTCTTTAAAGGCGGAATAAAAGTCTCTTCTGTTCGTCACTGTACATTGTGTGCATGCCTATTGCCTGGGACATCACTTATTTATTAAGTGAATTAGTGATGATTCAATAAGGGTCCCAGATACATCCCTTGTGTCAACATCACTGCTTTAATAATTATAAAATAACACATAAGATAGAATATGTATATACGGGATCCCTGGGTGGCACAGCGGTTTAGCGCCTGCCTTTGGCCCAGGGCGTGATCCTGGAGACCCGGGATTGAATCCCACATCAGGCTCCCAGTGCATGGAGGCTGCTTCTCCCTCTGCCTATGTCTCTGCCTCTCTCTCTCTCTCTCTCTCTGTGACTATCATAAATAAATAAAAATATATATATACATCTTTAAAAAAAGAATATGTATATACATATGCATACCTATTAGACATAAAATAACAATAATAATAAAGAAGACACTTAGCTGATAAGGGTTATCTTACCCTTAAGATAAGATATCTTCTCAATTTATGGGTTGTGGTCCCCCCTAGGATTACTGCAAGAAATCCACAAATCTACATGTTCAACCTAGTATTTTTTAAAAGATTTTATTTATTTATTCATGAGAAACAGAGAGAGAGAGAGGCAGAGACATAGGCAGAGGGAGAAGCAGGCTCCACGCAGGGAGCTTGATGTGGGACTTGATCCCAGGACTCCAGGATCACACTCCGAGTCAAAGGCAGATGCTCAACCACTGAGCCACCCAGGCATCCCTCAACTTAGTATTTTTTTAATGGATAAACAAAAGTTCTCACTTGTGAACTAACATTTTTTATATTAAAAAGCATGGAAAAGGGTAAAGACACTGGTATTTTGTCAAAAAGCCCAAGGTTAAAAAGTTTTAAGACTTGAAGGAATAAATCCTAATATTGGGATGGGAGAAAGAGTGGTGAATATTTTTTAGTGGAATTCATTCAGAAAGTACTACATGTCTTGGTGGGAATGTAAATTGGTACAGCCACTATGGAAAACACTATGGAGGTTCCTCAAAAAACTAAAACAAGAAATACCATAGGACCCAGTAATCCTACCCAAAGAAAATGAAAACACTAATTTTAAGAAAAGCTATCTGCACCCCTACGTTTATAGCAGCATTTTTAGCCAAGATATGGAGACAACCTAAGTATCCCTTGATAGACGAATGGATAAAGAAATTGTGGTATATAGACACAACAGAATATTACTCAGCCATAAAAATGAATGAACTCTTGCCATTTGCAACAACATGGATGGATCTAGAGGATATTATGCTAAGTGAAATAGATCAGACAAAGACAAATACCAAGCAGACTTCTGCTTCTGTTTTGTTTGTTGTTGGTTTGGTTTTAGATTCTACATATAAGTGAAACCATATGTATTGTCTTTGTCTGATCTCTGTACTTGAGAACAAACTGATGGTTGCCAAACGGGTTGGGAGAAAAGGGATGGGCAAAATAAGTAAAAGAGATTAAGAGATATAAACTTCCAGTTATAAAACAAATAACTCACAGGGATGTAAAGTACAGCATAGGGAATATAGTCAATAATACTGTAATGACTTTGTGTGGTGACAGATGGTAACTACATTTATCATGGTGAGAATTTTATAATACATGTCATCATCGAATCACTATGCCATATACCCGAAACCAACATAATATTGTATGTTCAATATACTTCAGTTAAAAATAAGTTTTAAAAATTCAACATATCCAATCAAAAACCTAATCTACCTAAAAAGACTTATATCTCCTAGAAAATAAAAAGTATCTAGGGATAGAGGGAACTCTCTGGTTCCAAGTTTTCTCTGCAATCTCAAATATCTTGATAAACTTACCAGTGTGAAGTGCAATCATCCATGCCACCAGTTTATGAAAAGTGAGGTTCCTGTCCAGTTGTCTTCGAATTCTTGTTGAGCAGCACTTTGGATTAAAGGGAAAAGAAAATAATAATGTTAACAAGAACGTTTGCTGTGTGCCAGGCAGTAGATATATATCATCTCATTCAATTCTCATAACCACCCTGAAACTATGTCATTTTACACATTTGATAGATGAGAAAACTGAGGCTCAGATGCCTGTGGTCATTTTCCAAAGGTCAAACAGCTAGTGAGTGGCCTACCTGACAGGTACCTGCAGTAACCATATGCATGCAGAACCAGCTCAGCCCCAAGAAACCTGAAGTTTGTTGAACAACAGGTGTAAGGTCCCTACAACCAGTTTTACCTGGACTCAAAGGAGGAAAGCTCTGGCTCTGTGTCTTCTCCATCACTTTTCCCTGCCCCAGAATGTATGTGAGCTCTCATAGTTCCATGCTGGGCAGTTAGCAAAGGCTCATCTTTGTGAAGATGTCAGCCAGTAACTTAAGTGTCAGGTGAGAGATTCAAATGTCATCTCTCCTAGGAATACTGGCAGTGTAATAGGATTCTCTCCAAGAAAAAAAGTGTATTCATTTCATAAGACCCTGAAAGTCTAACAGGGACATAGATAAGTGAACATTTCTAGAACAAGTGAATAGTTTTAGAATAACACCCTTCTAAGACATACACTGGCGGGGAGGAGAAAAAATTGTCCACTCATCTCTGTTGACAGAGACATCACAAGATATCATTAGCCAAATGTTAATAGCAAAGAGAACAATGGCTAATATTTACAAAGAGCTTGTGCAAGGACCTGTTTTAAGTGTTTTATATGCATTCTGACTTTTCATTCTTGCATCAGTCCTATCAGGGAGGTACCATTATGATCATTGTATAACAGATTAGGGAAAAATGTGTGGAGAGGTTACTTTGCCTTAGGGCACATGGTTGGTCAGTGGCAGAGATGGGATTTAAGTCCAGGCTATCTGATGCCAGATTATCAATATTCTGATATTTCATACCTTGCATGATTACTGTGGCCAGTAAATAGTATATTAAAAATAGTATTTTACTCAAATTATGGGTAAACTCTTTAAAGGCGGAATGTTTTTTATCTGAGGGGCAGGAAAGCTTAGGTATTGACACCCCCCAGTTCCCATCCATCACAGGCCGAGGGCTGGTCCCAGGGCATCAACTCCCTGGCATCTCAGGCTTGCCCCAGGAGAGGGCTGAAAGAAAATCCTCAGGTAGAGAATGAGTGGGGCTTGCAGAAGGCAGCTACTCCGTGCGCTGTAGAACGGTAAGTGTGGAGGGAACCTGAGTTCCACCATCAGCATCAGCTATAAACTAAGTGTCCACTAGTGGAGCTAGGCAGTGACTCAGCTAGGCTCTCAAAATAAGGGTTTCCTGTTTGAAATCACTTAATTTACATTTCTGTTGGTGAATAATTGTCCTTGGTTTCTTACATGGCCTCATTGTCTTTTGTGTTTATTTCAAGTGCTGTTCATTGTTTTACAACTTTGTACAATTTTAAGGAATTATCTTTTTCCTGTTTCCCAATTGCTAGGTTCCTCCACAGTTTCTTGGAGTCCTTGGGGTGGTAGGCAAAATTCAGATGATCCCCAATGACCTCATATGATCTCCTTCCCTTGAGTGGGGGGTGGGACCTGACCTGTGAATATGATGTGATGTCACTCCTACGAGTTTGTTACATCATATGGCAATAGGAAGATTGCAGAGGTAATTAAAGTCCCAGTTGACCTTAAGAGAAAGATTATCTGGGTGGGCCTGAGCCAATCACATGGCCCTTTGAATCTGGGTCCAGAACTCAGAGACTAAAGAGTTCAGAGATTCAACGAGCCAGAAGTATTTGGTGTAATGTTGCTGGCTTTAACGTGGAGGAGGCCACATGGAAGGAACACAGGGACTTTCAGATCCTGAATGGCTGTCAGTAAGCAGACAGAAAACTCAGTCCCCCACCTGCAAGGAACTGAATTTTGCCAGTAAGGATGAGTTTGGAAGACTTTTACCGAGTTTCCATTTGAGAATTCAGCCCAAGGGGCACCTTGACTTCATCCTTGTGATATGTTGAGCAGAGAACCCAACCATACACAGGATGCTGGATTTCTCACCTGCAGAACTGTGAGCTAATAAATTGGGGTTGCTTTAAGTCACTGAATTTGTGGAAATTTGTCACACAGCAGCAGATAATTAATATAGTCTTTTTTTAATATAGTCTTTATTAGGGTGATGGACCACAATTGGAGTCCTAAGACTGAGAAAATGGAAATAGTAGGATCAGAAATTAGTACTGACTTACATTTCAGAGGGCAAGTTCTGCCATCAGATATACATGTGTTAGATCTCAGCTCTACTACCTAGCTGTGTGACATTGAACAATATGCTCAGTTTCTAACTTCCTCACCTCTTTTTTTTACCAGAGTTCTTCTCTCATAGGTCCATTTCCTAGATTCACAAAGGGGTGTTTAATAAATATTTGAGGATTTTTTGGTATCATTATTTAACTTTTTACTAGTATGGTGTGGCTCCCCAGCTAGAGAGTAAGCTTCCTATGTGCAGAGCAATATATCATATGCTTTAAAAAATATCCCTTGGGGCACCAGGGTGGAGCAGTCATTTAGGTGTCTGACTCTTGGTATGGCTCAGGCCCTGCTCTCAGGGTCGTGAGATTGAGCCCCATGTCAGGCTCCACACTCAATGCAGCTTGTGCTTAAGTTTCTCTCATCCTCTCTCTGCCCTCCCAACTCCTGCCCTGCTCTCTCTCTCTAAAATAAATAGATAGATCTTTTTTAAAAAAATTCCTTGATAATTATTTGGTTAAATAAATTCCATTTTCACTCTTCTAGAACCTAAGATGATTATTCTAAACCTATAGAAATGTATTTACCCACATATCTATACTTGCCATACTTTTTTCTTTTTTACTTCCTTGACAAACTGTTTTGGAATTTGGTGGGAAAATACTATGCTCCTGCATGCTGAATCTGAAGAAAAGCAATATGGTTTTGATGTGGCCTTTACAGTGTCTCCATAGTTCTACACTTATCATCATCAAAATAGATCATCAAAAATATAGAACAGATTCTGATGCCTATCAGCTTGAGCAGCAGTGTTAGAGAAAAATAAACTGAATGCCAGAACAGTGGAGAGATGTGCTTGAGAAATAAAGGTCCATTCAGTAATACTCCAATCTTAATAGGTAATTTTTTAAAAAGCCACTAAATATGAAACACGTACATCTCCTGAAAAAGAAAAACAGAGACCGTTAGTCACTAATGGGTCAATGGAATAGGTCTCACCAAGGCACCAATCCCTAATTTTTCCCTCTATGTTATGCTGAGGATGGCCAAAAAAAAAGAAAATCCAAAGAGAAGTCACAGGTCATGTTATATGGAACTTCCAAATATAATTTCCTCACCATTTCCTGAAAGGAGAGCAAGGCAGCTAGTTGGTGGGGTGGGAAGGAAGGGCTTTGCTGCCTGTGACCACCCAGGGCTTGTTTGTTCTTCCTCATCACACAGATACCATTTTATGCTTTTGAGCCACTTCTGGATTATTGCCAGCCACCTCCTAATTACTCAAGCTGCCATCATGCCCCGTGGCTTCCTTGCTGAACTACCTCTTGGCCTTTTGCCATTGACTTCTTTTTCTTTTAAAGATTTTATTTATTTATTCATGAGAGATACAAGAGAGAGACAGAGACATGGGCAGAGGGAGAGGGAGAAGCAGGCTCCCTGCGGGAAGCCCAATGCAGGACTCGATCCCAGGACCCCGGGACCACGACCTGAGCTGAAGGCAGATGCTCAACCACTGAGCCATCCAGGTGCCCCTTGCCATTGATTTCTACAGGAAAGTTCCTCTGTTACTGTCACCTAGAGCCTGTCCCGATCTCACTAAGCTAACATTCAAGTGTAAGGGAGATTATGGAGTCATCTCAGGAGATTCCTATGCTCCATTCAAACTGCAAGAGAAAAAAATTTTTTTCTGAAGAGAAAAAAATTGTTTTAAAGGTTTTATTTATTTGAGAGAGAGTGTGTGTGTGCACACGGGGGGTGGGGTGTGTGGTTGTGTAGAGGGAGAGGGACAAGCAGACTCTGTGTGGAGCACAGAGCCGGGCGCTAGGGCTTGATCCCACTAACCCTGAGATCATGGCCTGAGCTAAAATCAAAAAGTTGGACACTCAGTCAACTGAGCCACCCAGGCACCCTGAAAAAAAATTTTTAAGTGTGAAATGGAACTAAAAAGGAGTGCATATTTAATGGGGTATATAACATGAGTTTCCGTAACATGACCATTTCAAAACCTTAAAAGCTCTATTTTATGTGCACCTGGTCTCACCACACATGCCATGAATTCACTTAAATTTGCTGTTTATATGCAATTTGGAAGAAATCACAAAAGCTACCCCTGAATCTATAGAACTCAGGCAAAGAAGCCAACAGTAATGTCCAAACCTAGTGGCAGTAGGATATGTGGTAAATGAGAGCATCAATTTAATAGAGAACCCAGAAATGGGCCCTCAGCTCTATGGTCAACTTATATTTGACAAAGCAAGAAAGACTATCCACTGCAAAAAGGACAGTCTCTTCAATAAATGGTGCTGGCAAAATTGGACAGCCATGTGCAGAAGAATGAAACTAGACCATTCTCTTACACCGTACACAAAGATAAACTCAGAATGAATGAAAGATCTAAATGTGAGACAAGAATCCATCAAAATCCTAGAGGAGAACACAGGCAACACCCTTTTTGAACCTGGCCATAGCAACTTCTTGCAAGATACATCCATGAAGGCAAGGGAAACAAAGCAAAAATGAACTATTAGGACTTCATCAAGATAAAAAGCTTCTGCACAGCAAAAGAAACAGTCAACAAAACTTAAAGACAACCTACAGAATGGGAGAAGATATTTGCAAATGACGTATCAGATCAAGGGCTAGTATCCAAAATCTATAAAGAACTTTTTAAACTCAACAGCAAACAAACAAACAATCCAATCAGGAAATGGGCAAAGACATGAACAGAAATTTCACCAAAGAAGACATAGACATGGCCAACAAGCACATGAGAAAATGCTCCACATCACTGGCCATCAGGGAAATACAAATCCAAACCACAATGAGATACCACCTCACACCAGTGAGAATGGGGAAAATTAACAAGAGAGGAAACAACAAATGTTGGAGAGGATGTGGAGAAAGGGGGACCCTCTTGCACTGTTGGTGGGAACGTGAACTGGTGCAGCCACTCTGGAAAACTGTGTGGAGGTTCCTCAAAGAGTTAAAAATAGACCTGCCCTACGACCCAGCAATTGCACTGCTGGGGATTTACCCCAAAGATACAGATGCAATGAAACGCCGGGACACCTGCACCCCAATGTTTCTAGCAGCCATGTCCACAATAGCCAAACTGTGGAAGGAGCCTCCGTGTCCTTCGACAGATGATGGATAAAGAAGATGTGGTCTATGTACACAATGGAATATTACTCAGCCATCAGAAAGAATGAATACCCACCATTTGCTTCAACGTGGATGGAACTGGAGGGTATTATGCTGAGTGAAGTAAGTCAATCGGAGAAGGACAAACATATGGTTTCATTCATTCAGGGAATATAAAAAATAGTGAAAGGAATTAAGGGGGAAAGGAGAGAAAATGAGTGGGAAAAATCAGAGAGGGTGACAAAACATGAGAGACTCCTAACTCTGGGAGACGAACAAGGGGTAGTGGAAAGGGAGATGGGCAGGGGATGAGGTGACTGGGTGACGGGCACTGAGGGGGGCACTTGACAGGATGAGCACTGGGTGTTATACTCTATGTTGGCAAATCAAACTTTAATAAAAAATATACAAAAAAAGAAAACATTAATTTATTTGTATAGCACTGTTTAAAACTTTGCAATGGCATGTTTATTCTCTCTTTCATGAGCTCATGGCCCATGTATTTATTACCCTTTATTCACCATGTGTCCCCCAGTACTTAGCATGTAGCTGGCACTCAACACATATTTGTTGACTGACAACTCAGCAGTTGACAGCTTAATCAATTAATATACTTTTAGGATGTTATATTCATTCTTACAGTTGCATTGTCTCACCTGCTTTTCAACTAAAAAGAAAAAAAAAACCCTGTGAGACAGGAAGTCCAACAGACTTCCCTAGACCATGTGGCTAGACACAGAACCACACTGACGACCTCTGACTCTCAGACTATATAAGGTTACAGATAAGAGCTAACAGTCTCACCTTCCTTTTTCTTTCTGATCTGAAGACTAGAACTGTCATCCAATGAGAATTTAGTTTCTGCATGGCAAGTTGGGATTATTAAGGATTCTCTGGGGACTTCTGCATCCTAAGCCCCATCCTTCCCCATCCCCCTCAACAAAGGAGGCCGAGAGTCTTTATCTTCCCCATGGTGGGCCAATACTAGGGCTTTATTTCTCCAAATAATCACAAGGATTATAAAGCAAAGTCTTAACTGATTAAGACCACTGGAAACTGAAGGGAAGTTCTATGACTATGTAGTTTGCACAACGTCCTACTAACAAATCCTTGAAGTTACAACGGTCTTGCCATTTCTGCCTGGGCTATTCAGCATGCCCAACATTCACATAGATGGTGGACTTTTTAAAGACTGTCATAGGACAATAAGATAGTTTTGAGTTTAGGTGGCACGTAGGGAAGTGAATGGTCTCTGGGGACACAATGAGCTGGGTTTGAATTCCAACATTGCCATTTCGTTGCATCCCCATCTCACCGACTTGACGTGCAGCCTTTATGAAGTGAGCTCTGTGAAGACTCAGTAAGTGGCAGCTATTTGGATTTCCAACATTGTTCACAGCATGGTCACTTATTTTATTCCCAATCAGAAAAGAAGTTTCATTTGTCAAGTTCACATTTCAGGTTGGGAAACCCAGGAGGGACACTCCGTGTTTATAAAAGAATGTTGCATGCTGCTAATTTAAAAAAATACATTCTCTTACATACAGATCTCTCTGATTAGCAAAGCTTCTGTGCAATTTGAAGAACAGCCTTATTTTGTCCCTGTCTTTAAAGACACTCATGAAGATCTTCCCTCCTGGGCCACAGGAAGCCAGAAAGCAACCATTACAACATGTGCTTTTCACAGGGCATGGTAGCTCAACGGCAGTGCAATTGGGGCCTGTGCAGTAACAAGGATTTCTTAACAGGCCATCCTGGTGAAAACCCTGCCTATTTCTCAGGGTTTACTTCCTCTAAATAGAAAGTATTCAAACAGGGCATAGGAAGGAAGGCTAAAAGAAGAATTGTGCTTCCCTAAAAATGAAAAGCTACAGTACATGAGCCTCTTAACAAATGTGCATTGGGCACCTACAATATATCAGGCTTTGTATGTTACGGGGGGCTTGTTGACAAAACTTTAAATCAAATGGAATTTTACCTCTGCAGTTTCTTAGAATGAGAAGATAATTTAGAAATCCTTATAATCAGTGTCTACTATTAGTTGTATCCTGCCAATCCTATATTCCTAGATCAACTAGTAAATCTAGTAAGACTAGGAAAAATAAGGCAGAGTGTAAGGCAAATTCTACTTGTTATTGACAGTTCAGATCCTTCCCCCAAATGTTCCACGATTGCCAAATTAATATTTACTTCTCAGCTATACATTTAAGGTCCCACTTTACCAGCCAAGTTCCAGCTGTCCTCTGCAGCCTTATCTCAGACACCTGCCCTTTACAACCCTTACATCCCCATCAAAGTAGATTGCTCACTGTTCTCCTCTATAAATTATCTCTACTTAATAGATTCTTTTAAAGATAGTTAATATAAAACACATACATTTTATTAAGAGGAAAAACAGAGGCTATTAGTTACTAAAGATCCAGTGGAATGGGTCTCACCAAGATATCAATCCCTTTTACTTTTCCCAGCTACCCTCTTTGGTGGGATCAGGAACCGCAAACAAATCCAATGAAAAGCCACTTGCCATGCCTATATGGGGCTTTCATGAATATAATTTCCTCACCACTTTCTTTGCTGTGGCTCATTCCATTTTCTCCATGTAGAATGTCTTTCTCTTTCATTTACATCTCCTAGTGGCTTATTTGATCCTCATATGCCCATATTTGATGCCACCTTTTTGATGAAACCTTTCTTCATTCCCTGCCCCACCTTCATTCCAAATCTCCCCCCTTCTTTGATTCCCCCATAGCTCCTTATTTCTAATGTTTTGTGGGACCCATCGTATTTTGCTTTGTATTGTATTTATTTTTGTACACAGATCTCAGTAGATTCTAAGTTCCTTGTTTCTCATCTTTGTATAAGAACAATAAGAAATTCATATACCATTTTATAGGTTACAAAGTTTCTTCTTACATAATCTTTTCTTTCTTCTAGCATAGTACATTTAGGGGATCACCAAATTGCCAAAGTGAGAGTAAAAAAAAAGTCTTGAGCACTTAGAAAGCTTTGAACTCCTCAATTCCATGGACTCAATACCTCTTAGTCACTCTCATTATACTGTGGCTCATCACTCATTGATTTCAACTGCTTGGGATGTTACCCACAAAGTGACTGTGTCTGACTTAAATATTTTGAAAAACATGGCATTGTAAGATTGATTCCCAAATCCCATGTCAGCCTCATAAAGTCCATAATGTATTATATCATATATGTCTGATGTGTGTGTGTGTGCATGTGTATGTGGATGCACAAGTGTTTGATTGCTCTTCTTGAGGTGTAGGTTGGTTGGCTTTTTAAAAATGTCCATTCTAAGTGAAATGGTTGTCCCAGGGAGCTCCATCAACAACAAATATAGAAATATCATGGAGAATCAGGCATCACTTAACTCGTGAATATTGGACAGAGGTTGGGATCCTCACCTTAGAAAGGGCATTTTTGCTTTTCCTTAGAAAGGACATTTAGTTTGATGGCCTTTGAAAATTTTGAGAAGTTTTCAATTTTGTAAGTGTTTGCTCTTACCGCACTGGAACCTCTGAGGAAGGAGAGCAGGTTTCGACAGACTGGCAGCAAAATCAGCATGCAGTTGAAATTCAGGCAGGCTGCAGGGGCCCTAGCCAACGGCAGTGCAAACTGGAAGGTGCAGGATAGGAAGCAGGTTACTTCCGTGAGCACAGGATACCCCTCTTCCACTTGACCAGAGTTCCCAGATGAGACACCAAGTAATCTGAGAAGGAAGGCCCTTCAGAACCAAGAGTCTATCTTTAGGGCCTGCTGGGATCCTTCGTTTTAATCTGGCCCTTCTCTCCCACCCCAACATTTTACTATGAAAATTTTGAAATGTAAAGAGAATTTGAAATACTTTCATAATGACACCTGTTTTCCCAACTCCCAGATTCCACCATCATAGATCTCTCCCCCCATCTACCCATTCCTCTATCCATCCATCAATACATCTTATTCTTGATGCATTGCAAAGTGACTTGCAGACATTAGTTCACGTCCCCCTAAATAGTTAAGCACGTGTATTATTAATTAGAGTTCAATATAGAAACTGGGGTTTTCTAAAGAAGATTTTCTTAGTTCTCAGACTCACTTCTGCAGTAACTTAAGTTGGTCTGGTGTAATGCTTTGACGTTATAATTGTTCTTTGTAACGCCTACAGAAGTTGCATATTTTGCAGGGGAAAGCAAAGGGAAATCATCCTTCTCAGTGTCAACCTGAATAAGCTAACAATTATAATAGTACAATATAATTTTGTGTCATAATTATTTATACATATGATATATAATACACATTACAATTGGTATTAAGTATGAATTCACAGTTTCAGCATGATATAACAAATGGTATCCTGTGAGGGCAGTTGTAATTGTAGTTATTTTCATTTGTCATGAAGAAGAGCCCTGGCAGCTCAAGGAAATCAAGGATGGTAAAGAACCCCAAGGAAAATTGGCAGCCTTCATTCTGCTGGCCTAGTCAGTGTGACTCTTGGACAAGTTCCTCAACAATTCCATCTGGAGGGAGAGGCTTATTTCCTGAAGATCATTTCACAACATGTCACTAGGAGCAGAGCTCTCCATGCACAAAAGTGTCAGGAATCAAATGATTTAAAGAATATGGAAAGTCTCACTTGCCCCACCTATGTCACCCTTGGATGGATCTCTCCAAATTTGCCTGCCATTCCGGAGTTGGCATCAGATTTCTTCTTTAAGCTAAACAGTGGCACAGTAGTTCTTGGGAGAGGAGGGATGCTGCTGGGAATCTCTGATTCCCAGATAAACGCTTTAGTTTATCTAACACTCGGTGGCCTCAAGACTCGTGCCCAGGTGGTTGCAATGGAGGGATCGAGGCTAGTGGTGTTATTTGGGTTGGCCAGAATATTTATTTAAAGTGTTGAAAGGAATGAGAACCAGAATCTTTGATTAGAAATGTGAGCCAGTCAATATTGCATGAGATGGAACTTTTACTTACCCCAAGAAGTTTTCGAGTGTAAAAGAATTCTTCTCCATTGTTATAAACCCCATAGAACCAGATAAAGAGGAAGACATTCAGCCCCAGCCACACCAGCTGCAAAAAGAGAAATAGTTGCATGAAGTTTCCACATTTCCATAGGTAGATTTCACATAAGATTAGAGTCAGACTAGGGTCAGGACTTCCCCAGTCTAGCCTTCAACGAAGCTGATCACAAATTTGGGTGTAACCAGCTCAAAGTCAGCTTTTTCCTACAACAGTGCCACTACACTTTGTGATTGACCTTTCCACCTTGTGTGGTTTCCCATGATTCTTTCTCTACCAGCCAGTATGCCAGGTTATTATTAGTCTATCACCCTTTTGTTTTTTTTCCTCTTCTTTTCTTCTGGAGCTTAAATAGATAGCGGTGAGTGAGTCTTCTCAAAAAAGAAGGGAAAGGCATATGCTACTACATAGTCCCCTGCACCTGTAAGACATTGTATCCTATTCTCGTGAGTGCCATCACCTCCCTCCACCACATGGCACCCCACCCCAGCTAGTGGGAGTCACATCAGCTAGAACGTCAAGCCTTTGATTCTATTTGGTAAGTTTGCTTAACTTTTAAAAGAGGGAATATTGAACAGGAACAAGGGGGGTAAGGGGCATGGGATTTTGTTTTTTTTTTAAAGAGACCCTTTTACATTTTGACTGCTCATTGCATCCCAAGCATAGATTGCATTAAGTGGAGGCACAGCTCAGTCTCTAACCTTCAGCTCCGTAGTGATATTTTCTTACCTGTGCTTTAATGCCATTAAATGGGTGCTTAAGAATGAACTCTTTATGAAGAAGAAGGTATTAAAACTACTTCTCCATTCTTACTCTTGCTTTCCAAGATGTGTCTTTACTGTGAAGCATATGAGTGTGCAATTTAGGAGGAGGTCATCTCCTGGGAAAAACTGTGGTAGGAGCTAAAAGTATAATATGAACTTGTTTTCTATAGGAATAATCTGTTCTCAAAATGGTGATAAGAAACAAAGCGAACAGCTCTGAGTCCTCAGAAGAATTCTATATGGCATTAGAATGTTGGTTTGGCATATTTTTTTTAATGACACAGTATTTCTTGCTTTTATTTGTGACACAAATTCCTCTCTATGTCTGCAACTCAAAGACTCAATATTTACTTTATGATAAATTCTTTCAGAAATTCCACTCACAAGTGTTCTTTTTTAGCATCAGTACAATACTTTCATTGGCTATTTGGAAAGGCTAATTATAAATCACATTTCTATCTTCCCAATTGTCCGTGATCACTTTGCTGAGACCGCCATCTTAAAATAATAGTTGGTCCTTGTTATGGTAAAAGACTAAAGAGATTAACATGAAAATTAGTCCTATCTTTACTTACAAAAATTGTTTCTTAAGATAAACTAGATTTATACATATATATTTATATATATACATAATATATATCCACTGTATTTATGAGTCTAGTTTATTTCAATTTCCTTCCCTTGAATTTCTATAAACCTTGTAAACAACTCAAGTTTACCTCAGAGAAAAGAGGTACTTTTTAAAAAAAGAAAGTTGAGAACGTCAATTAGTTTCGGTGTAATCACTGAAATAAAGGCCAATTTCCCATACATGAGTCAGCCTTGTACCTGTTATTTGGAAGATGGTGTAAAATTATGATTCCCCATTCTTAAGTGGTATAAGCACATAAAAAGTGGAGAATTTGCCTCTGAGTAAATATTAATAAACAACTTAGACTTGTAGGTTATTAGCATGAAATGTCTTCTACTTGCTCTGTGAAATGCTGGCTACTTTAGTACTCCCAGATTCAAGTAATAAGTAGGCGAAGTGATCCCCCAGATACATTCTTATCATTAATAAGTTTGGAAGAATGCACTCAGTCTTGCTTACAGATAGATGTATGTTCACACAGTAAATCAGTTTACGGATTGATCAGAAATACAATTTCTCAAAGAAATAAAACAAACGAACAAAATAATTTTGCCCTATTTTAGTTTCCCGGAGAACCCCGACAAGTTCGAGAATTTATCATTTCTCTCTCATTGGTACTTACAATGACAAAGATGGAGAGCCCCTCATTCTCAATCCAGTTCCCCATGGTGACAAAGGTTCAATGCCTTGTGTCTGCCTTTCTTCTCTGCTCTGCTTCTTCCTCCCATGAGGAAATGAAAACAGCAGCCTCGGGGCAATCGGTTTCCTTTTCTATTATCAGAAATTAGCTAATCATTGGTCAACTGAAAATCTTGTTTCCATAAGAACTTTAAATCTTTAAACCACAAAACAGCTGCAGAAAAAGGTCTATAATAATCCAGTCATAACTAAACAGAGTAGGAAATGAGACCAATTTCTACAACTGAGAGACAAATAACAGTCCAATGATGGTATATATTTTACACAGGGACTTAACTTTTTGATTAATTGGTTATCAAGTAGTAATTTTTAAAAAGTCACTCAACCAGCCATGACTTCATGCTAGATAAAAATATTACATATCTTTTGACAGACTGAGCAGCATTTTACAGTCTTGTTGAGAATAACAATAATGACGGTTGATACTTACAGCATACTTACCTCATGCCAATTTTCTAAGATACATATGTGTGTGCATACACATATACACACATACATATACAAACATATATATTTACTTATGATTTGATACATGCCAAACACAGACACACATATTAAATTCAGTATATAAATAAATTCACTTGATTCTAACAATTCAACCCCTATAGAATAGTTTTTTATAAGATATTTTTAGTTTTTGAATTTTTATTTAAGTTTTGTTAGTTAACAGTGCAATATTGGCTTCTGGAGTAGAATTCAGTGATTCATAAAGATTTTATTTTTAAATAATCTCTACACCCAACATGGGGCTTGAACTCACAACCCTGAGATCAACAGTCACACAGTCTACCAACTGAGCCAGCCAGGCGCCCCTAAAGTAGTTTCTATTACTATGATTACGCTTATAGATAAGGAAATTGAGACCCAGAGCAGTTAAGTTACTTGGCCATGGTCATGTAATTAGGAAATAGTAAAGCTGGGATTTGAAATCCAAGCACTTTGGCTATACTTCTAACCGGATGCCAGAAAAAAAAAAAAAAGCCTAACTGTGTCAACCCCATCCAAAATCACTTCAAATACAATTACAGGAAGTAAAAATATAACAAATATAGCAAAATGTTTGGATGACTATAGTATTCCCAGGAAGACATGACATCCTCTAGGTTAGATATGTAAACAGGGTGGAAACAAAGGTATATGTGGCAGGTGCCAAAAACCAGATTTAACATTTTTTTTCCTGACTACTATGTCTTCAGGACATGAAAGAGACAGGAGGGTGGGATGGTAACCCCAGTATGAGATCAAAGCTGACAAATTACACAAGGGTGGTTGTACAACAGCTATAGTTAATGAAGAATTCAAAGCAGAAATAGCAGGACCAAATGGGAATGAGAGAATCAAAAGAGGAGAAGCATGAAACTGTTTTTGGTGGTTGTTTACTTATGAGCCACTTTGAAACAGCCTATAGAATTAGGACAATTAGAGAAGTAATATTATTTTTCACTTAATATTTAAGGAAAGGGTGGAGCCTGGGTGGCTCCATGGTTGAGCATCTGCCTTTGGCTCAGGTCATGATCCTGGGGTCCTGGAATCCAGTTCCGCATCAGGCTCCCTGCGAGGAGCCTGCTTCTCCCTCTGCCTATGTCTCTGCCTCTCTCTCTGTGTCTCTCATGAATAAATAAATAAAATCTTCAAAAAAATATTTAAGGAAAGGTATTAAACTGTGGCCTTCTCCATTGCTCTTGGATCATGAGTAACCCACATAAAGGACAGACAGCTTTGTGGTTCCATTCCACACAGAGGTGAATTAGAGAAACACAGACAATGAAAACATGTGCCCATTATTGGCCTCTTTGCTCTGACATCTACTCTCCACTCCTTCCTTGCTCTGTTCTGTTTCAGGGAGAATTGTATTTGCCAGGCTCCTTGGCCCTCTGGTGTCCGATACAGTCAGCCAAACGGAAAGATGAAGAGCAGGAGAGAAGCCAGGGTGTTCCTCGCCCCCGCCCCGACCCCCTAGCTCTCTGCTTCAAGTGGCATCTCTGAAGTGGCTGCGTTTCCATGAAGGTTCCAGCTCCTAGCAGTCAGCCTTTCCCTCTATAGCACGAGCTCCTGCTGGCCATCGCCGCTGTCCTTCTGGCTCCTGCCAGATGGCCCTGGCTTCTGGGCTCGAGTTATACCACCTCCTCTCAGTGTCCCTCCAACCCTGAGGGTAACCACTTCCTGTAGCTGTAAATCTTTACATTGCCTCCACACTTGTGTTGGGATTCTGTGCTTTCCTATCATCCATGCCGCAAATTCCTCGTGTGAAATTCCCTGTGTTAAATGTGTTGGTTTGTTTTTCTGACTGGAATTTGCCTATTGATGCACAAAATGTAATTCAGGTTATGTACTCACTTTCTCATGTAATTAAAGAAGTGAGGCAATGAGGAATAAACCAGCTTAAACATCTGCTCTCTCCTTCTCTGCCATGCTCCGCCTCCTCCAGGGAGGTCAGGGGGAGTACCACAAACTGAGGCTGCATCAAGCTCTGTGAAACTTAGCAAAATCTCCTCTCTACTCCTCCCCCTCTTCTCTTCCCCAGCCTGCTGCTTCCTCTTCCTTTATCCCATCTAAAATTTCAAGCCTCAGGACGCCTGGGTGGCTCAGTGGTTGAGCGTCTGCCTTTGGCTCAGGTCTTGATCCCAGAGTCCTGGGATGGAGTCCCATACTTGGCTCCCCTCAGGGAGCCCGCCTCCCCCTCTGCCTATGGCTCTGCCTCTCAATGTGTCTCTCATGAATAAATAAATAAAATCTTTAAAAAATTAAAAAATATATATATCTTCAAGCCTCTCTCACATTTTCTCATTGACCCCCTGACGCCTGTGCTCCTCTAGCGAAGGGACACAAAGGGTACCATGAATATTCATATGCTCTGAGATGAATATTCATACGCTTGGAAATAATGCTCTGTTTCACATAAACTCTTGAACGTGTTCGACTCCTTTCCGCTCCCTCCATGGTTTGAGAGAAAATGCAAAAGAGAAAGAATCTTTTCTGCGGGTAATCAACCATTCCCTCCCATTGCTTCCCTCACCCTCTTTGTAAAAGTAATCACAGGGCTGTGAGTAGAGATTTCTTGAGAGCCTGAAGGACTTCAATCAATTTCACAGCTGGAAGAAGAGAAATCAGCTGAAAAAAGAAAAGTAAAAGCTTTCTTTTATGGAATGTACCTTCCCATTTGAGAAAACTGTTCCAGTAAATTGTAATGTGCACCACTCTCAGAAAGATGGAGGGTTTGATAAAGAAGCAACCAGTGTTGGTTGACTGGGATTGACTGGACACGGAGAATAAAGAAAATTGAACATCTGTATCTTCTGCCAGATGCTTTGGCTTCCATGGTTTCCTAAGCATTTAGTGTCAAGCCAGATTGTGGGCGAACAGACGGAAGTACTCGCCCTCCCAGTAGACAGTCATGAGTAACACCCTCAGATATGATTGAAATCCTGGACACCCCTGGCTGAGAAAAAAGGAGATGAACAGACCCAAGTCGTCAGGAAATTCCCTGACTGGGCATTCCCAAGTATAATTCTTTCTTGATTTTTCAAATTAAATTAGGCTCCTAATGTATTCCCAGAAGTATGTGTGAAACTGCTGAGGAAAGGGAGGCATGTTACCACACCAAGATTCCTAGTGTGTTTTGCTCCTGGTGATGATAAGTGGATTTCTCTGTCTTTTCTTTTTCTTTACTTTTCTTTTTCCTTTTTTTTTTTTTTTAAGAGAGAGAACACATGGGGTAGGGGAAGAGCAGAGGGAGATGGAGAGAGAGAATCCTAAGAAAGTTCCACACTTGGTGTGATCCTGGATGCAGATCTCACAGCCTTGATCTCACGAGCCTGAGGTGATGACCTGAGCCAAAATCAAGAGTCAGATGCTTAACTGACTGAACCACTTAGGCGCCTTGATTTCTGTTCCCTTTTTCTCTGCTGTGTATGCTGTTCTTTTGAGAACTGCCATGTTCCCACTCTATATGCTTCTTTGAGTTATGTGGCCCCACTTCCTTTGCCTAAGGATGACCAGCGAGGGGACATCATCTCCCTGGACACAGTGTTTGTCCCAGGGGTGGGTCCTCGACCCAGAGAAGGCCATTTAGAGCTCTGGAGTACAGAGGCTGAAGCTCTTCTATCTTTGTGAATGAGGTATGCTGGCTGCTGCTGTAGACTCTCTCTATTATCTTGTGCTAAGAAGTTGCATAAGAATTATGCCAACACAAACAAAATCAAATCAGAAGATAAGGAAGCTGGAGAGGTTTGGAGACAGATATGAGATGGCCATGTTTGAATTCTCGGGTCTGATCTGCCTAAGACACTTAGGACATTCTGGTTATTCTTATAGACTGGATTTCTGAGGCTGGAGATTAGTGTTCAGGACATTTTGTACGGGGTGCCTTGGAAGGAAAGTACCCGTGGAAAGTAGGGAAAAATAAGAAAGTATGAGTGGGTAGAAGGGGAAGTTGAATTATCCATGTGTGGTCTCAGTAAGGTCTCAGCAGCTCTGTGGGGAGATCTGGAGCTGGGATGACTCAGAATGGTCTTGGACAAGATGGCTCTCTTCACTGAAACAATCTGTGCTGTGGGTGCTCACAGCAAGGCAGGAAATCTCTTGTTCCTGAAGTTCAACCTGGTGGCCACATTATAGTATCAAAATTTATAGTATCAAAATTAACACCATTAATTCCCACCACTACCACTTCCTGCTTTTAAAAAACAGTTTGAGTGAACTTTCTACCACTTGCACCTAGAAGGGTTTCTACTAACGTGTGGTGTAATGAAACTCACTTCTACTCCATAACCACAGTCTCAGTGCTTAGTGAAAGTTGAATACAGCTGCTAGAATGGGATCCAGATGTTCTATCCCCTGTTTGAGGGAGAAAATAAAGTGAAAGAAGAGACATTTAGTGATATAGGTCATTAAAGGCATCAAGGACATGATTTTTAACTGGCATTTCACTTAATAGAAAGCTAAAGTGTCTGGTGATGAAGATTTACATTTTTAACTCTTTAGGTTAAATGTGATTTGCATGCATTAATTCATCAGAAT